TTAAATGACATAAAGTGAACAAATTTCATACATCTGAACATGTTCACCAGATGAACATTAGTTGACGTAGCATCGAAGAATAGCATCGACTTTATTAAGGCTCACTTTGGACACGATCTTATTTTGGCAAAAATGTAGACAACATTCGTTCCGAAGTCGGAATAACACGGAAAATGGCCAATTTGTCTACCAGCCTCACAGTGCGTGGGCATTTTAGCCTCGAAAACATGCCCGGCCGGATGCAAGAATGGAAAGCGAGGTGGCGGGACCGAGTAAATTGAATCGTTTCATCCAGACGCTCTTAACTAGACACGTTTGGGATGCTGCCAGATGGCAAGCATCTGATGCGTCGTCTAAGACTGGCATGGAAGCCTGTTTTGCCTGCAACCTTGGGGAGCTGGGCACAGCAGAAAATGGTTGCAGGGCTGGCTCCAACGCTCGATCGGCTCGCCCCAGTGCAAAAAACATCTTCACGCCAAACTGAGATTCACTGGCAACCTTGACAGGAAACCAAAACTATCCCAAGTTGGCACTAATTGTTGCTGTAAACGTTTATAAAATAAACTCCCTGTCATACATTTCATCGAAATGCCGATCTATTTAGCCAACCACAAAAGAGGTTCATCTGCAATTTTGGGATCACTCAAAAGTTTTTGCTTGTAAATTCCTCTCACTCAGTTGATGCGAATCTTAGGCGGGGGAGAAAGAGCACTACTTAAATTAAAATGCCAGCGCAAGTAGTATGTGCTTTAAAAATGAGAACAGATTTCACAAAGGAGATAGCAAAGTAAAGTCAAGGCTTGATGACTGAAAATATAGTACAATTAAAGAAATATTGGATATAAATGACACAACTTAATGAGAAGAACAGTTATTCTACTGGTTGAATGGCCCGATTCTACTTCACTAAGATCGCACCTGCACTTCTAGAATGGTAAAATGTTATCCACTATTTGCAGTAATTGTTCATGCATGAAGTGAGTAAAAATATAACCCAAATACTTTAACAATGAATGACTAGTTAACTATTCTTGGCCAAAGAGATTTAGAGTATCATTTTTACAGCACAAATATGTTTCCTCTTCAACTCCCAAATATCCCTCTTTCACAGCTTTACGTCCTTGGATATCCAGATTTAGGCTATTTTATGATTACTTTTTACATCTGGTAATAGTTTTAAAGACTATAATATATTAAATAGTTTAAATGCATAGAAAAAAAGTATATATATATATATGTATATAATATAATAATAATAATAATGCTTACATATAACATTTATATTTATATTATACAATGTATATATTCACATTTAAATATTAACATAAATATACAATTTAGTCAAATTATTTGCTCTATATAGTTTTTATAATTTAATAGTAATATTATACTATAGATATATGCTATATATATATATATTTAACAATTTATAAATCAATATTAATAATATTATAATTATTAGCAATATTTATATTAATATTACTATATAGGTCTGTCTGCGTATAAATTCTAAATAAATTTATATATGTATCTATAAAATTAGATAGATAAATAGATTTATATTAGCATTATATATGTACATATTAAACAAATATAATACTGATAGAAAACAAGGTAACAAAATGCTATATTTATTATCTGTATGTATATATATA